GCTCTCTCATGTACTCTCTCTCCCTCTCAAGTAAATATGATAAAAAAAATTTTTTTAATATATGTGAGTCAACAGTATGATCAAAGTACTTTAAAAGAAAAAAAAAAAAAAACGATGGGGTGGGCATTTAGCATCGCAGTTAAAACACTGCTGTAGTACCCACATCTTACATCAAAGTTCCTGGGTTCAAGTCCTGGCGCCACTCCTGAGTCCAGTGTCCTGCTAATGCAGACCCTGGGAGGTAGTGGTGATGGCTCAAGTCGGTAGGTTCCTGACTTGGGGAGGTGGGACAGCCAACACTAGATTGAGTTCTTGCCTCCTACTTCAGATTCAGCTGTGGCAGATATTTAGGGAGAGAACCAGCAGATGGGAGATCTCTCTCCAGCTGCCGGTCTGCCTCTCAAATACATAGATAAATTCAAATACAAAAAATAAAAGAAACAGTTACCTGGCATTGCTCTCTATGACAAAATCAGGACCAGTGAATGGGAAGAGACAAATTTTCATTCAATACCAAGAAAGTCAAAGACTTAGAGCACAATTTCCCTTAACACTTTGAATATAAAGCATAATTCCCAGTCAGTTCCTTCACTGGGATATAGGATTTGTTGTGCTACAGAAGAACATTTTTGAATATTTATGTGTATTAGCTTTTTAATGTTTTAAGATTTTTATCTTGATATAAAGTTTCTCTTATAAAAAAATGAATTTGAATGAAACTAATGAGTACATTTAAATAAAAAATGTTAAGCGAATCACAAACGACATGCAAATAAGGCAACAGTTACAGCGGTATGCAAATGAGTGCAGTTTAGGAACCGCTGCGGCGGTATGCTATTTCATCTTCAGTGTCCTGAAGCTTTTGTTCCAAGATCCATCTCCCGCTGAGGAAATGCCTGTCGCATAGTTTCAAGTGAGTCAAGTATTTATTAATAGAGAGGAAGAGGAAGATAAGAAAAATAAGACAAAGAAGGGAAAAGGGATGAATGACTGCGCCCTCCGAGCACATCGGCCCAGCTTGTTTACCTTTGCAGTTCACATCGGACTGACACTAAATCAGGAGAAATGCGCAAGGCCCGGGCCAGCAAATAAATAGAAAGGAACCGAGCGGGGTTAAAAATAAGGTCAGGAAGTAACAAAATGAAACAACTGAGAAAACAGAAACAAATATATCTACTGAGAAATAATCTGACACACAAACATTCGCGGGGCGGGGGGAAAAGCTGGGCAGTTCCAGAAGAGAGGGCGCTGGACCCTGTGAGGAAGCCAAGGGGACAAGGAGGGCCCCGTAGCTCTCAGCCACGCCCCGGCCTCAGCCCCCCACACCACCTGCACCTGCAGCAACCCTGCGCAGCTGCAGTGCGCCGCCACCAGACAGTTCAAACGGGGGTGTCCATACAATCTCAGATTAAGCATGAAGCCCAAAACGTTCATCTTCTCGTCTGAGGACTCCCCATGCCTCTGCATCCTCATGGGCAACACAACTCAAGCAATCACTGTCAAGGTCATTTTCGAGCAGGTGTAATCTTTTGTCCCCAATCCCCATCGTTGGGGAGGGGCTCCAGGGCACCATGAGCTTCTATGCAGGTCTTTCCCCCCTATCCATAAGGCTGCCCTCCAGGCCCGTGGTCTCTCACCTTGACTTCTTGCCCTGCAGGCTTCCCGTTATCCCTTCCACGTTCCGCAGCACCATGGCCAAGCTTTCTCATTGCTGCGCTCCACTCTCTCCTCTTCAGATGCTGATGGTGGCTTCTTATAAAGGCTACATAGTCCTCACCAGAGTACTATGGCAGTCTTGCCTATGGTGTTTTCTTATTCCAGAGAAATGGTTTAATGCAGGTGAAACAATTTTGGTTGTGAAATTCAAAGTCCTAGATTCTACTCTTGGCTCTTCTACCCACCAGCTCTGGGATCTAGGCAGAGTTAACCTCCTCCTATTTCAAAGACTTACCATAAAGGGATTAATGGATATACCAAAGGAAACTGCATTCAGCATAGTCATTTTATTTATAGAAATCATTTCTCCAGCACAGTTAGCGGCTGCCTTATAATTCTTCCCTGTGTCATGTGTGTTCTCTTGTCTCCAGTGTTGCTTTTACATTCGTATGAGGCTGGCTTCTTCATCTGCACTTTCATTTGTATCCTTGACAACACCTGAGCTGGTTGATTAACTGAGCCAATTGCTTTTTCCCAGCCTTGACCTTCAACACATCACTCTTCCTCTGTGTTAGGAAGCCTTTCTTTACCCACTGAAAGGGTCCTGGTAGTTCTTTAGCCCCTAAGCAGAGAAATCTGCCATTTCGATATATTTGTCATCAGAGAATAAACAGAAACATTAAGTAATGAGAACAGACCCTAGAGGGCTGAGAGAGAACATCAAAATGCATACAGATGAAAGACTTTGCCAAACGAACAAACAGGAAGTGTGCAAAGGCCAAATTCTATGTTCATCCAACCCCGTCTGGCACGAGAGTTCTCCAAACTGCAGTCTTGAGTGTTTGGCCGATGGGCCTGTGTGGAAATGTATGGATCATGCCTGCACTGGCCAAAGTTGTTAAAGTCTTAGAAACATTAAACTAACCAGCTGACTCTGTCATTCCTGAAGAGCGATGTACACTGACGCTCTCAAAGTAGTGTCTGTGTGGAGCAGATATTCTCATCACACCAACCTGCATCGTCGTTTTGTTTCTGGTTGTAAAAACTGGCAAATTATATTACTAATATTATATTATGCAATAATCCTGTGCAAGTTTGTACAGCCTAATTTTGGCCTTCTGAAATTAACTCATCTCTGGACCACCTGATGGGAGTTTCTGCACTTATGAAGCAATAGGCTAGGAAATACTGTAATGACCTTATGAATATTATATCTTTCTAGGGGACACTGCCATAGGGTGGTATTCAACACCCTCCCAGAGGTCACTGCTCTGTCTCTTCACCTCAAAGCACAGTCACACTGGGTGGGTTTACATGGTCCAAATTAAAGCAGGAGTTCTATGGATTCGTTTTTGAAATTTTTTGTTTTATTTATTTGAAAGGCAAAGAGACAGAGAGAGATGGAGATAGAGAGAAATCTCCTATCTGCTGGTTGATTCCCCAGATGCCCACAATAGCCAGGGCCCAACCAGGGCAAAGCCAGGAGCCCAGACCTCACTGGGTGGCAGGGACCGAAGTACTTGAGGCATCACCTGCTGCCTCTCCCAGTATGCACGCTAGCAGGACAATGGGATCCGGAGAGGAGCCAGGACTCGAGTCCAGGTGCTTGGATTTGGGATGCTGGCATTCCAAGTGGTATCTTAATACCCATCTCTGAATTAAATATGAAAACACAAGTTACTGAACTGTTTGCTTGGACATTGGCCTGAGGAGTTAGTTAAAATATCCAATATCAGGGCGGGCATTGTGGCACAGAAGGTTAAAGCCCCAGCCTGCAATGCCAGCATCCCATATGGGCATCAGTTCGAGTCCCAGGTGCTCCACTTCCAATCCAGCTCTCTGCTATGGCCTGGGAAAGCAGAAGAAGACAGCCCAAGTCCTTGGGCCCCTGTACCCATGTGGAAGACTGGGAAGAAGCTCCTGGCTTCAGATCAGTTTATCTGAGGAGTGAGCCAACAGATGGAAGACCTCTCTCTCTGGCTCTACCTCTCTGTAACTCTGTCTTTCAAATAAATAAATAAATCTTTTAAAAAATATATCTAGTATCTGCATGAGGACATGAAGCACATCTGCTTCGAAAGACAAAGGGAAAACAGACTCTTGTGGCTCTGAAACCAAGAAAAGGTTGGGTTCTAAATGTGCGCGTGAGTCAGGAGGGGATCCTGTAAAATGCAGCCTCCGATTCAGGCTCTGGGTGGGAGCAGGGGTGCTGCGTTTCTGACACATGCCCAGGGCAGGGCCACGCTGCAGGCCCAAGGATCCCACCTGTGCGCAAGACCAGGGTGTGTAAGTAACATAGTGGCATCAGTGTGAGAGAAACAGAGGGACTTTGACCCTTTAAATGACTCCTCCAGAGGACACCAGCACAGAATTATCCCAGTTAAGTGACATGCGGATGCACATTTGGTCTCACAGTTAAGACACCCATTAAGATGCCCGTGTCCCAGGCCATGTCAGAGGGCCTGGGTTCAAGTCCTGCCTCTGCTCTTGATTCCAGTTTCCTGCTAATGCACACCCTGGGAGGCAGCAGTGATGGCTCAGCTGTATGTATCTGTGTGTATGTGCTTGGTTATGCTCTAAAGTACATTCTTGGGGCTAGCACTCTGGTGTAGCGGGTAAAGCCACTGCTTTCAGAGACAGCATCCCATATGGGCGCCAGTTCGAGTCCCTACGGCTCCACTTCCAATCCAGCTCTCTGCTATGGCCTGGGAAAGCAGTAGAAGATGGCCCAAGTCCCTGAACCCCTGTACCCACGTGAGAGACCCGGAAGAGGCTCCTGGCTCCTGGCTTCGGATCAGCGCAGCTCTGGCCGTTGCAGCCATCTGGGGAATGAACCTGGGAATGGAAGACTCTCTGCCTCTGCCTCTCTAACTCTGCCTTTCAAACAAATAAATCTTTTTAAAAAATAATAAAGTACATTCTTCCTGGCAGTCATGATCAAACATTTGGAAAACACTGGCCTATAGTTTAAAGATAGAGATGTGTTTTTTAATGCCTTCTTTTTTTTTTTTTTTATCTATTTTACTGTGTTCTCCCGGTATTTGCCTTATTTCTCTGCTCTGTGCACCATCGAATCCATGAACAGGCCCAGCATGCAATAGTGAGTTCCTTCAGGTCATGCACACATCACGTCCACAGATCTACGTTCTGATCTGAACTATTCCTGGCCGTTACCTGCACACAATCCTCCCCGGGGCCAAGCCATAGCACTGTGGAAGCGCGGCAGGCTCCCCGCGGTGCGAGCGCTTCCCGGCGAGCGAGTCACAAGAGCGCCATCTTCTGGCGAAATCTTTGCTTTGTCCGGAGGATGTTAAAGATGTCTTGCTTTTTCTAGCAAAAAAAATGCATTTCCAATCACGAATGCATTGACATCTGAAGGGCTCTTTATTTCGCTCGAGAGTTTCACTGCACTCCCCCTTCTGAGAAGGAGCTTCATCCGCGGAAGGAGCTTTATCCGCGCAAGTCCTTCCCGGCTCTCCGTTAAACGAAGCGCGGTTTCAAGTTTCAGCTCCTCCTTGAATTCCAGCCGGGTGAGCCTTCCCTCCGGAATCATCCAAAATGGAGCCTCTTAGCGCTTACCCAGTGAAATGCTCCGGGCCCAAAGCAAAGGTGTTTGCAGTTTTGCTGTCTATGCTTCTGTGCACGGTAACGCTGTTTCTTCTACAACTAAAATTCCTAAAACCTAAAAACAACAGCTTCTATGCCTTTGAAGTGAAAGATGCAAAAGGAAGAACCGTTTCTCTGGAAAAGTTTAAAGGCAAAGTAAGTTGCATCCTCTCGTTTTTTTATCTCTCTTTTTCTGTGTCTCTGCCCACTTCCTCGGTCAGAATCGTACACAGTCCTAAGTTAGAATTCAGTCTTTAAAGTTATGTTATTAGTGTGACACCTCGAGTTCGATCGTTTTGATAATTCTAATGGATAAGCTTTCTTAACCTACTCTCTTCAAAATGCTTCAACGTTTGTGCTGTTTTTAGAAAAGCTTACAGTTAGTAATGTGAATATGGTGACATTAGTAACAGTATTAATATCTAACAACATTACAAAGCACTCTCATTTCTCATATTATTGTCTTTTTACTTAAACTTTGGCGATACCTAATGCTTTTTTAATCCAGTAATATTTCCGAATCTTAGTTCATGAATCTGGGCTATGGTTTTCAAAGAAACTGAGTACATCTAAAACTATGAAATAACATCTATCAGATGTTATATTCCCCTGAAACGGTTTGGGATTTTAAGTACTTGCAAGAATTTTTTTTTTTTTTTTTTTATCTTTTGCTTCACTTTCCGGTTGGATTTTTTTTCTTTTTCCGGGAGGTTACGCTAGTTGTAAACGTGGCCAGTGACTGCCAGCTCACAGACAGAAATTACTTAGCCCTGAAGGAGTTGCACAAAGAGTTTGGACCATACCACTTCAGCGTCCTGGCTTTTCCATGCAATCAGTTTGGAGACTCGGAGCCCCGGCCCAGCAAGGAAGTAGAATCCTTCGCCAGAAGCACCTACGGAGTAACATTTCCCATCTTCCACAAGATTAAGATTCTAGGACCTGAAGCTGAACCCGCTTTTAGATTCCTTGTTGGTAAATATCTGCCTTCCCTCACCAGTCTAACGCTGTCTGCTGCTTCTCACTTTCAAACACATATACCAGGACCATGACTTTCCGAGTCTGTTTGAAATGTTTTAGTGGGAAGGTTTCATGGAGCCATCAGAGAGCCAGCATTTCATCCTTTGCAACTTTCTAGAAGGTGTGCATCCTGGAAATCAATGTGATAACGTTTTAGGTGGCAGAAGAATTCTACTCCAGGGGAGTTTATTCCTACTGACCATCACCCTAAAGAACGTACTTGAAGTGTGGCCAGGCTATTGTCATGAAGGACTGCAGTTAGTTACCTAGCATTTGAGGAGACAGACCCCCCCCCCCGCCCCCATTATGAAAGCTACACGTTTCTCCTGAATACCGCTGAGCACTAGTCAACATCCCTCTGTGGTTGATTTTATGTCACCTTTCTTTTCTGAGACATTATTCTCAAGGATGACTATCTCAGTTTAGCAGGTGTTTGTTAAAATTACAGCAGTGTGACTTGATTTGTCCAGAGAACAGTGCAGCAAGACTGTCTGTACAATTAGGCGGACCCCAGAACTCTGTTTACAGACGCCAAGGCCAGTTAGCGTGCTGGCAGTGTGGTGCTGTGATGGTACAGGCTCCCTGCATGCAAACCCCTGCTCAAGTCGCCTTTGCTGTGTGGCTTCCGGAACAAGTCAGCTTCTCTATTTCCTCATTCATAAAATGAGGCTGACAATACTCCCTGCCTCCTAAGAGTGTTTGAGGGTTAAGTGTGCTAACAGAAAAATGAAACCCTGCTTATTGTGTGCCAGCCACTGCTCCACAGGACGGTCAGCCAGGCCGATTTTCACTGTGGATACTTTTTTTTTTTTAACAGGCAGAGTGGACAGTGAGAGAGAGAGACAGAGAGTAGAGAAAGGTCTTCCTTTACCCGTTGGTTCACCCTCCAATGGCCGCCACGGCTGGCGCACCGCGCTGATCCGAAGGCAGGAGCCCGGTGCTTCTCCTGGTCTCCCATGGGGTGCAGGGCCCAAGCACTTGGGCCATCCTCCACTGCACTCCCAGGCCACAGCAGAGAGCTGGCCTGGAAGAGGGGCAACCGGGACAGAACCCGGCGCCCTGACCAGGACTAGAACCCGGTGTGCCAGCGCCACTAGGTGGAGGGTTGCCTAGTGAGCCGCGGCGCCGGCCAATACTTTAACTTTTGATAAAGCAGGACCCCAGTCAGGCAACCAAGCTTCCACTCCAACCAAACCAGATAAGGGTGCTCTACAAGGTTCCATAGAAGTGCGAGATCAGAATCTTCTAGAAACGTGATATTTAACGTCTAGGGAAGGCTGACCTAACACCTAACACCATCAGGGATCACCAGAGTGAGGTCTTCACGCCTTTCTTTTATTTCTGGGGTACATGGAAGGAAGAAAAGCCAGAGCGTATATCCCTGAACTAGTCGTTCCTGGCACAGCAGCCTGACGCTCGGGCACTGGGGCTGGTAACTGCTCCCTTCTGTCACTAAAAGGGTTTCGGAAGTCCCACTCACCCTGTGGAATCAAAAAGGTTACCAGGATTTAAGGTTTCACTGGGCTGCGACGGGGAGGGTAACGGAGCCCAGAGGTGGGGGCACAGGCTCTAGAGTAAAAGGCCCGCCCTTCAGTCCCATCCCTGCCATTCACTGGTCACACGGTCTTGAGTCCAGGCCTCCATCTTTCTCACCTGCAAAATGGGGATAATAGTAATATCTGCCTCACTGAGTTGCTGTAAAGATTAAATGGAAACAGCCATTGAAAGCACTGAGCATCATTCATTTTTTTCTTAAACATTGACTGATCGATTTGAAAACCAGAGCTACAAAGAGAGAAGGAGAGACAGAGATCGTCCATCCACTAGTTCACTCCCCAGATGGCTGCAATGGCCAGGGCTGAGCCAGGCCAAAGCCAGGAGCCAGGAACTTCATCCAGGTCTCCCACGGGGGTGCAGGGGCCCAAACTCTTGGGTCATTTTTCCAGTGCTTTCCCCAGGCCACTGGCAGGGAGTAGGAAGTGGAACAGCCGGGCATGAACTGGTGCCAGTATGGGATGCCGGTGTCTCAGGCAGTGGCTCTACCTGCTGCATCACCATGCTGACCCCTGAGACTCATACATACTAGGCACAGGCACAGGGCTAAGTGCTTCATAAATTTTAGTGATAATCATTGTATTTTTTCTCATGTTAGTCAATAATACAAACATAAGTTGTGGATAACAAATGGGAAAAATTTGTACTTCTTACATAAATTTTTATCAAAAGGGTGTCATAATTATCAAAATATGATGATTATTTAGAATTCCTTATCTTTTTCAGCTATAGAAAAATGTAAAAATATCCAAAATTTTAATATAAATGTATTTAATATGAAAAGCAATTCATATATTTGCATTGTCAAGTAAGTCCTTTAGGGCATAATTTTATAGTTGAAAATGTTAAGGGGGGCTGGTGTTGTGACATTAAGTCATCGCCTGTGACACCAGCATCCCATATGAGTGCCAAATCCAGTCTCGGCTGCGCTATATTCAATCCAACTCCCTGCTAATATTCCTGGGAAAGCAGCAGAAGACCTAGATGGAGCTCCAGGCTCCTGGCTTCAGCCTGGCTCAGCTCTGGCCATTGTGGCCATTTGGGGAGTGAGCCAGAGGATAGAAGATCTGTCTCTCCCTCTCTATCACTCTGCCTTTCAAATAAATTAAAATTCTTTCAAGAAGCAGAAACTTTTGAGCTAGTGACAAGGTAAAATTTTTGTTTAGATCAACAAATCTAAAAGATTTGGTTTCATTTCATGAATCTAGATCAGTAAACCACCACATATATTGCAATCTGCTTAATCAAACTTTGCGATTTGCTTCTGTTTTCCTTTATTCTGTTTCTGATTTTATGACAATGCTAGAGTCTCATTCCAGAGGTGCCATTTATGCTCATGAAAGTATGTTCTGCATATTTTTAGATTCTTCGAAGAAGGAACCAAGGTGGAATTTTTGGAAGTATCTGGTCAACCCCGACGGTCAAGTTGTGAAGTTCTGGAGACCAGAGGAGCCCATTGATGTCATGAAACCTGACATAGCCGCTCTGATCAGACAAATCATCATAAAGAAGAAAGAGGACCTCTGAAACCCCCACGGAGCCGTTCAAACACAACAGTCAGCACAGACAGACACAGCCGTGTGGGCCTGGTCTCATTCCAAAGGCTTGGCAGTTAAAGTGGCACTAAAGAGGGATGTGTTTATGTTGTCTCACTAGTCAATTAGTAATGAAGGTCTCCAGGATAGAGATGACTTCAAAGGGGAACAGAGAGAGAGAGAGTAGCCAAAGACCAAAATGAAATATATTAAGTCCTCCGTATGTCCAGGCTAGAACATTCAGAATGCAGTCAGCACTGGGCTCCAGAACCCTGTTGCTCAACATGACATCCTCTGGGACTGCACTTGATGGAAATGTCAACAAGCTAGACCACTGGGCGGATGCAGAAGACTGTGGGTGACTGCAGTTGCAGCACTGACTAAATCACATGGCTATGTTGAATATGTTGACATGTTGAAAAAAACGTAAAATATACATATTCAGATTCAAACACATGTATTTTGTCTCATGTACAGGATTTTATGTGGTTTTGTTTTTTCAGTAGTTTCCTAGTGTGTTTTACTCTGACAAATACTCACTTATGAATGACATCATCACAACATTTGAAAAAGCCTTCATCATTTCCAATATTTCTCCGTTATTTTCCAGAAGCAACTCAAATCCTATAAATGCAATACCAAGAGTTGAGTTGAACTTCATTTTTGAGTGAAACTCTCATGTGTAGGCGAAAGGTCATGAGTAGGATTGGGCCTGATTTCTTCTAGGTTGATTTTGGCTGCGAACACAGACTAAATCATTTGGAAAGAATTCAACGCTGCATCTTTCTGATAGCTGACTTAGGAAAAATTAGCTCCAAATACTCAAGGCACTAACATAAAATAGGGAGTGACCACAGTCACACGAGTCCCAAAAAGCAGGTCAGCGATCAGTGAGCCTTTTGGTAAGAGTCACAACAGACTTTTTCTCCCAAAATCATGAACTTCAGATTGTGTCTTATAATTATTAACAAATCAGCCTGCCAAGCCAGTAAAGGTTAATTATTGCTCCACAAATCACATATTCATTGAGTAAAAAAAAATAGGAAGATGTGTGTATGTATGAGCGTGTGTAAAAATATAGTCATGTGAAATGTGGCGAAGAAGACCCAATTTAAGTAGTCTGTGACTTGACTTCCAAATTCTGACCCAACAGATGGAAGTGAAGATGTTTTTATGGTGAATTCAGTAATGCCACCACAGTCTATAGTTCTTCATAAATACCTGGACTAAAGTTTGGGAAGAAACCAAGATACTTCCTGGCACACCTTCTCCTTCAAAGTACACATCCAACCACGCAGCCCCGGATGCACTTGGTGGAGGTGAAGGCGGAGGCGTAACTTCCACAGAGGTCAAGAGGATGAACAGGGATGGCCTCCAGGGCGCCAGGTTAGTGCCACAGAAACCTGCTCTGCTCTCACCAGCTGGGGGACGTGGAGCAAATCATTTAACTACTTTGACTTCGGTTTTCTCACCTGCAAAGGGGGGTAGGCTCTTTAAATGCAACAATAGGTCTCTTCCAACTTTGAACGTCAAGGTACAGGAGTGGGCATGTAGCCTAGCCATCAGGATGCCTGCGTACCACGTTGGAGTGCCTGGGCTCAACATCTGCCTCTGCTCCAATTCCAGCCTCTTGCTAGTGCAGACCTGGGAAGGCAGCACAGGATGGCCCCACCCGAAGGACCTGAGGCCATGGCGGTATGTGGAGAGTGAACCAGTGAGTGGGAGCACTCTTTCTGCCTCAAAAATATTTTTTAAAACTTTTAAGTACTATATGTAAGTGAATACTTACTGAGATTGTTTGAAGGTACCAGAGAAGACATCAAAATTAATCTGGGTTATTGGCAAAGAAACAGAAGCCACCTAACAAGTCTACCCTTTGCAATTTTGTCCCAAAAGTCTATAAGCAATTCGAATTCTGAACCTCTCAGCAAATTGTTCAGGGCAATCCTCTTCCCCCATCCCCCCCCCACACACACACACAGTGTTGCTTCCAGAACACTCTTGACACCTCCTCCCACACCCACTGAGGACTTTGGTGAGCCCAAGGCAGTGCCTTTGCGAGGGTGTGTGTGTGTGTGTGTGTGTGTGTGTGTGTGTATCCACATCCTTCGTGGGCAGCAGCCCAGGCAATGTTGACCCCACTGCCGCCCAAACGGTGGCACAGCTGCCCTGGCCACCTCCAGGACTGCCCAGTGACCACCATCCAGATATCTGGCTGTCTGAAGCCATCACTGCTCTCCAAAGCCACAGAAAGGTTTCTTTGCCTATAAATCGCCAACCCTGGTTGCCTCATGGCTCCAGGGCCTCCTGTGGACATCGTCCCCCACGACACACACACTCAGAGAAAATTGCCTCTTGCTGGACTTTGAGCAACCTCTGCTGAACCCTGACCCGGCATCAAAAAGTCTGGGACACGAGACGCCCGAACCAAGGGGCGCAACACAAAACTGCCAGGCATCACCCGGAAGGGTATTCTGCTGTTGTCTTCGCGATGCGGTGGGGGGTGGGGGGCGGGGAGCAAATGCATTTCAAACCCAGTTAAGATGACTTACTGTTTGGAGAGATCTGTCACAGGAGGTCCTGACCATCACCCAGGGCACGTGGACAAGGGGTAAGCACAAACGCGCCTGAGACAGAACCTGAACCTGGTGCTTCACTTGCGAAGGTGCTCAACAAGTGCGCTGAATCTGCAGTGCGTAGTTATGTGCATGTATCTCAGTCCCGATGGTCCTAGCATATAGACTGGCGATGGTGGAGCCGTCTCGGGAGGGGCATCCTCACCCAGCATGTGCCGCTTCCAGGGTGTAAAATGTTCCCGCGTGGCCAATTTCCATCTACCAGCGGGTTTGTAATTAGCTTGCAGCTTCCGAAAATTTAACAGTTGGTTTTCACACACCAATACTAGCTACAGCACACCACAAATCTGAAAAATTACACTTCCTTGGGATATCATGAGGAGGTATCTCCCAGAACAATTCAGAACAAAATTGTGTGTGTGTGTGTGTGCGTGTGTATTCTTTATTATATACTAGTGTTATTAAAGTATGGAAGGATATGTAAAAATGCGGAAGTACTTGCAGTTTCTGAGTTATAAAAAGCTGCTAACAATATGCTAATGGCACTAAAATCTAATGACCTAACTGAACCGCCCCCAGATAATCTCAAGCAGGAAGATACTCCAGTAAAAATTTAAAAATACAGGGGTCAGCATCATGGCTCAGCTAGTTAAGTCACCGCCTGTTCAAGTCCCAGCTGCTCCACTTCAGATCTAGCTCCCTACTAACAGCCTGGAAAAGCAGTGGAAGCTAGCCCAAGTCCTTGGGCCCCTGCCATCCATGCAGGAGACCCAGAGGGAGTTCCTGGCTCCTGGCTTCACTCTGGTTCACTCCTGGCTGTTGCAGCCATCTGGGGAGTGAACCAACAGAAGAAAGTTCTCTTTCTCCCTCTCTCTCTGTCACTCTGCCTTTCAAAACAATAAAAACTCTTCTTTCAAAAGTATAATCAAATCCCAAAGAGAGAAACAAAAATTCCTATTTCTCTACATTCTTAACAAATACTGTTTTGAAAAGCCTTGTTTTCAGGGGCCAGCACTGTGGGTAAAGCCACTGACTACAGTGCCAGCATCCCATATGGGCACTGTTTCGAGTCCCGGCTGGTGTACTTCTAATCCAGCTCCCTGCTAATGTACTAGGGAAGGCAGCAGAAGATGGCCCAAGTCCTTGCGTGCCTGCACCCACATGGGAGACCAGGAAGAAGCTCCTGGCTCCTGGCTTCGAATCAGCTCAGCTCCAGCCCATTTGCAGCCAAGTGGGGAGTGAACCAGTGAATGGAAGATCTCTTTCTCTCTCTCTCTCTGTAACTCTGCCTTTCAAATAAATAAATCTTTAATATAAAAAAAAGGCTGGTTTTCACGAGCTGAAGTGTTGAGTGGTCCCTATATACAATGTCACATCCGTTCATGGTGATCCTTCAAGAAAAACGGTTATGAGTGGGTGCAGCTGATAAAGCGGGGACTCCCGATTTCCTCTTTCCCATTGCACAGCAAAATTCTAGATGCCGTAGTGCCTAGAAACTCACCCATCACACTCCTCCCACTTCTCCCTTCCCCTTCTCCAGCCTAATTGCTAAGGCCACCTTGCAGAGTGGGGCAGCCTCCTGTGGGGGGGTCCAGGACAAGGAGTTGCGAAGCCAGCAGGGGGCAGTCAGCGAGCAGCGGGGCCAGCGCAGTGGCTGCCCCAGGAGGAAGCACCTGGGAGGAAGCTCTGCCACCCAGAGCCCCCTTTCTTATCCCTCCGCTTGTCCCTTGACCTCCCCATGGGTGCCCCTGTCTTTCCCTCCCACTCCGATGGAAATGTTTTCTTTCGGGTTTTTTATCTCCTTTTTCCTTTGTACCCACTGATCTCTATTTTTATTTCATTCCATTCTTTCCCTCCTTTCTCCTCATTTCAGTAATATGGAACTAAAGAACAGCTTTCCATATCCATTGTTTGTTGAGGATAAACGTTGCATTTAAGGCCTTGCTCTTTTTTTAAAAAATGAAACACAGGGGGCTGGTGCTGTGGTGCAGCAGGTTAACGCCCTAGCCTGAAGCGCCAGCATCCCATATGGGTGCCGGTTCTAGTCCCAGCTGCTCCACTTCCAATCCAACTCTCTGCTCTGGCCTGGGAAAACAGTAGAAGATGGCCCAAGTCCTTGGGCCACTGCACCCGTGTGGGAGACCCGGAACAAGCTCCTAGCTCCTGGCTTCAGACTGGCGCAGCTCCGGCTGTTGCAGCCAATTGAGTGAACTAGTGGATGGAAGATCTCTCCCCCACCCCTTTGTCTGCCTCTCCTCTCTCTGTGTAACTCTGACTTTCAAATAAATAAATAAATCTTTAAAAAAAAAAAAAAATGAACCACAAAGGTCAAGCCTTCCAAACTTGGTAGCTTTTTATTTTGATCAACAGGCCAGTGACTCTCTATAGAAAATAATATGTTTTTCACCTTAAAATAATAAACAGGATGAAAACAGTATTTACCTGGAAGGGAACTTAAACACAAAGATTTTGAAAATGGAGTAATCCTTTTGAACAGAGAGGTCGAGATTTGAAAGAAAGAAAGCGCCTAAGAATGAGTTTATAGGTATCTGTTCAGACAAATATTCATGTTTAAATAAGGTCAGCATGAAAGTTCTCTCACCGGTAACGTGTAATCCAGTACAGCTGAGATTGTGACCATTGCTAACATCTCTTTAGGAGCGGAACCAGCGGTCAGTTCCACTACATGCTGCAAATGTCCACTTGAGGGCGCCAAATGTCCACAACCCACGGCACATCTGACCCTGCGCACGGGTCACAGCGGCCTCTGCGTAGGCTAAGAAATAGTTAAAACCCTAGCGCATACCACGCGTCCTTTTCACTTCACAAACTAGAGCTCATGCTGTCTTCCAAATATTTTATATGAGCGTGTAATTCTACAGAAAATGAAGAACTGAGGCAGACCTAAATAATTCAACCATCCCCAAAAAAGTTCCCCAGTTTTCTTGAAATTTCAACTGAAAATGTTTTAGTCGACTGACTCATCTAGAAAATCACCCCAATTCCCCCTTCATCTAGCACACACACGTGGTTATAGATACCCACTTTAATGCTATATTAGAAACTGGTGTCCCAGAAAAAAATACCAAAGACTTGGTTGAAAATGTGCACAAAGAAATAAGGGTTTCTATCTCAAATTGTCATTATTCTACATCTTACACTTAAAAATATAGTTCCACAAATATTTTAATACTGGTAGCCTACCCAAGACTCCAAAAATAGTATTTGAAATTTTTAAGTAATTAATTATATTATTTTCTTCACCATTATAAAGCTGCCGATTCTATTCTAATTGAGTAACTGAATAGCAATACTAACTGCTACGGCAAATAGTACCCTGCTTCACAGCAAAGAGCACACACACATACACACACATACATATACACAGAAATTGCAAATCAAATTACCATCTGACGTCCATTGTAAATGCAATAAGATAGCAGTTGTATGTTAGCTGATATCACACACATATTCAACCAGCTAACAATACACTGCCACCTCATCACACACCGGTAACAAGGGCACTTCATGAGCAAGAGCAATTTAGCCAGACGCAAGTGGCAGCGTAGCTGTGGCTGCTGACTTGACCCAAAGCAGCCAACTAACATTACACTGCCTACCTGCTTCAGGTCACTGCCCCGCTGCACCGCCAGGAAGACACTGAGGCTGCATTTGTACTATGAAACGCAGTGGCAGGACTTTAGTGTTAACAGAGATGTTAAAGAAAAGTCTGGCGTGAGGAAAAAAAAAAACTGCATCAAAGTTAGGAGGGGAAATTAAAATAGTTAGGGAAGTCAAGGAGTTCCATGTCAGTTTCCCCCACATAAATGACACTGACCGTCGCATTCTGAAAGTGCACTTATGTGCTCAACTCAGAGGGTCACCATCTGAATAGAGAAAATTTCATGGCACATCTAGAAAAAACAAGAAAAGCTGGAGACGAGTTTGAAACTAGAATCTACGAATTAAGGTTAAAGGAAGGTGAACCATTTACCACGGAGAGAAGCATGGTAAATGGCAATCATAGGAGACTTAAGGATATGAAGCCTGTTTATCTGGAGAAAAAAAAAATCACTTAAATTGTTTTATGATTTGCACTGATTACAAAAGAAACCAAGCACCTTGGGGTTTGGTCTTTCAAGGAGACTCCGATTGCTAGCCAGACCCGTGGGTTAGGCCACGTCTGCGGACTGTCCACCAGGTGGCACCCTCTCCGTTCTCCGGGAGGCCGGCTTCCGGACGCCACAGAGGGGAGTGCAGCCAGCGGCTGTGACCCGCATCCCGACAGCCAGCTAGCGGTGCACTGCCGACCTGACACATCCACGCCTCGGCCTCCGCGTGAGCGCCGGGCACGGACGCAGCGCCGGGCACCTTCAGCGTCCTCACTTTGTTTTCTTTAAGTAAGTGATTAGATCCCGTACTCAGCCACAGAGGTTGGTTTTTTCTTAATTCTCGTATTCCTCAGACCGCCCCCCACCCCACCCCATCCCGTACCTTTCTAATGCAGGAACGACTTTGCTCAAGACCGGATTCAAGGCAGAGAGCAAGAGCAGGCGCGGGACACTCACCTTGGGGGAACCTTGGCTTCTCTTCTCCATGTCCTGGGCGAGCACCCGCATGACATTCGCCTTTGAAAACACAGAGCACAGACTGAGAGAGAAACACCGAGGCACGCAACCTGAGCCGAGGCATCTGGGTCGCCCCTGGCGTGGCACCTCCGTTACGTAACTACAGCCCGAGCTCAGACTCAAGGTCAGGGTGCAGAGCTCTGCCCCACCTTCCAAACTGCTCATCCAAGGGCCCTCGGGCGAGAAAGCCCCCGCGCAGAATCGGCCGCGCTCACCCACAGCCGCCGCTCCTCGGCGAGGACCCTGGGCCTGGCGCTGCGCTCCAGGCTCCACTCCATCCGGGGCCGGGCCGGGTCTGGACGCCTCGTCGTCGAACCCCTCGAGCCCGGTCCCCCCCGGGGTCCCCGCTGTGTCAGCAGCTGCCGACGGCGCCCGGAGAGCGGTCCCGGGGGAGCCATTTAAAAAGCCGGCGGCGCGGCGGCGCGAGCGGGAATCCCCCTGCCCGGCCTCCCGTTGGCCGGCGCGGCCGTGACGTCAGGGCCCGGGAGGGCTTCCCCCGGCGCGGGGCCGCCCCGCACGTGGCCGCCGCCGGCGCCGCGCCCGCGAGCGCCAAGCTTTGCCGCGCGCCCTGGCGCGCCGGAGCCCGGCCCGGCGCCGAGCGCCGTTAGGGCGGCGGGAGGCCGGGGCTTGGCGGGCGGAGACGCGGGTTCCGCGAGTTCACGCTCTTGGCTTTTTTCGGGAACCGAACAGGTTCCCTGCCTCCTCCCCTCCCATTGGTGTCTCTCCAGCCCGGTCCAGCCGCGGTGCCGGCGATGGCCGCCGGGTGTGCAGTCTGCCCGGGCGGGGCTTCCCCGCGGATTCGGCCGGGACGCGGTCGGGGGGACTCGCGCGGAGCGCAGCGATGGCACAGATGGGCCGCGCCGCGTGCTCGCCCGCCCGAGGGGCCAGGAGAGGCGGCCGCGCCAGATGGCCGAGGGTGAACCGTCTGGAAACCTCTGGCTGTGGGGCAGCCCCCTCGCCGCCGCCTCCTCCCCATTTGACACTGGGCTGCGTTTTGCTCTGATGAGTTATGTGGCTCTGCGCATTCTGCTGGGCAAAGAGTTAACAGATAACAGATGCTCAAAACAGTGATTTAAAAAAATAAAGAAGTTAGAACACCCCTGCTTGCCTTCATACTGAGACCATCAAGACTAAGAGCCAGTCGTGGGCCAGTACAGTGTACAGTGGCAAAGGTTCAAGGCAATACTGCATAGGGTAACTTAATCTTCAAACACTATTTATCAAAAATGGTTGATAGTCAAATAACTCTCAGATTAAAAGATCTGTTTCACCCACAAGAATTCTACCTACTTTACAGTGCAAAGGGGTACTCATTCCAACTTCCAGTAAATCTGTTCAGCAAACACTGAGGTTAAACAAAGTGAACTATTACTGGATGAGACTTGGATGCATTGTTAATTTAAACGAACAGCTTTGCAAATACCAACTAAAAAGTTTCAATGCAACAGAAATACGATGACTTATCTCTGTTCTGTCTTTAAATGTGTTTTACATTTACCGATCTTGTACACACACAGAATGAAAACAATTCAATTAATGAACTTTTAAATTCATGTGAATTGAGATGTCTGAAAGTACTAGGAATACTATTGTTCATGTACACTGCAGTTATCCTTAAGAAATACGTTTATAAGCTCCATTTTAGCCACAAGTTCCACAGTATGTCTACAAACAACTTCCAGGTAGAAAGGTGTAAGACAGGTATCTTCCTTTACAAAGTCACTGAGGGAGCTGGCATTCGGCACAGCAGGTTAAGATGCAACCTGGGATGCCAGCACCCCATATCAAAGTGCCTGCGTTCAAGTCCACTACCCCTTCCTCTTCTGACCCAGCTCTGCTAATACACAGGGTGTGGGTGATCCCGTGGAAGCAGCAAACGATGGCCAAGCGTGTGAGTGGCCGCTGACCATATACAGGACACCTGGATTGAGCTGCAAGCTCCTGGCTTTGGCCTGGTCCAGTTCCAGCTATTGCCCTCTTTTGGGGAGTGAACCAACAGAGGAAAGCGAGTGTGTGTGTGTGTGTGTTCTTCTCTCTCTCTCTCTCCCTCCTTCTATCCCTCCCTCTCTTCCTCCCCTTTTCAATTAAGAAATGAAAATTTTTAAATATTCAGATTAAAATTTAACATCAGAATGACAGAAATGGGGAAAGCACTATTTAACAAATACCACGGTAACCACTGCTACAGGCAGGAATCTTACATGCTAAAGTTAGTGTGCATGCGATGAAGATATCTGCCCTCTGATTAAGCACAAAGAGAGAAATCACAGCTTTTCATTGGACGCGCTTGGCAACCACCACCCTAACCAAGTAAGCGAAATGACCGTCACCATCCACACGACAAACCTGTGTGCCCCCTGATACCACGCCCCAAGAAGGGCACAACCACGCTTCTGCCGTGTTCTTGCCAAAAACGCATAACCTGAACCTACTAAGGATAAAACACTAGACAAACCCAAACGGAAGGACATTCTACAAAATCTTTGGCCAATGAAGCGTCACAGCCCTGAACAAGACTGAGAGACCGCCACAGACTAAAAGAAACCAAGTAGACATGCCAGCTGCATGTGTGTGAGGCTCTGGGTTGAATCCTGGACCAGAAAAGGCCCCGGGGGACATTGGGTAACTGCAGAAATGGGAACAACGCCTGTAGCTTATAGGGTAGTATTAGTGCTAATGTCCACATCACAATCAACTGCACTGCCCTTTTATAAAGGCGTTAACCTTTGGGAAAGGTGGGTGAAGGGTGTGAGTATATCCTTCTAACTATTTTCTAAGTCTGATAAGTATTTCAAAATGAAACCTTTTCAACATCACGTGGTCTTATAAAAACACTAGGATACAACGGTTTAGGTGGGAAGGTAAAATAGCAGGTAAACATTTTAGCCTGAGGGCCTGGGGCTGACCCGCAGTTTTCAGAACGCGTCTTCCAAGAAGGGGTTTTGCAGGGAGCCTGTGACCCCTGAGAGAGGCCGTGAGGACGACTCCCGGGGCCACTTCGGTCCCCAGGATTTCTAGAGAGGAGGCCTCGGGGAGGGAGGGCTGGCTCGCCCACTCCCCAGATTCCTCCCAGGTTCCGAGCGGGGCCCCCTCGCTGCAGGCTGAGGCTAGGCAAGCTGCCCAGATCCGATCTCTCTGCGTCCAACTACACAATGGCACTTCGGTTCTAAACAACAACGTTAACTCTCTCAGAAGGACGCGGTGTACTTCGCCTGCGCCCCTCCGGCTGCCCCGGGAGCTGGGCCAGGCCTCGGTCAACGCACGTGTAACGCCCGCAGCGTTTGGCCCGGGGCCTCTTCCCGGATCTCGCCGCACCTGCAGCTGGGTGCGCCTAAGCCTATCCGACTTCGCTGGACGCATTCGCTTTTCTAGAAAGGTGCACGGGACATCGCCCCCTCCCCAACGCCAACGGCCGGTTCTCGCGCCCCGCGGGCCCGCGCCAGCTCCCGCCCGGCCTCGCCGCCCCGCCGCCACTCCCGCGCCCACGCCCGCCCCGGCTCGCGCCCCCAGCTCCCGCGCCCACGCCCGCCCCGGCTCGCGCCCCCAGCTCCCGCGCGCCTACTGGACAGAAACGACGGTTGGCGCGGGCATCAACGGTTCCCCGGGCGCGGGCCCCGCCGGCGGGGTCGGGGTGCGGGGGGCGGCGGCGAGCCGGGAAGCCGACGCTGGGATCTCCGCGCCTAGACCAGGGAACGCAGAGCCACGCTGGGAGTGACCGGGTGACTGCCTTGGCAACCCGGCCCTTAAAAATTTAACTTGCCAAGGTGCTCGCCTTGCCCAAGCCTCAGAAGTCAGTAAAACAGCCCCTCGCCTCTGCTTACATGGCTCGTTATTCTTTCAGTTGTAAGAAGTTCGTGTATATGCGTTGTTTCCTATTACAGCCTGATTAAAAAACAACCAAGGCACTATTTAAATCTGTTTCTGCATATCGCGATGAGTGTCGAGTTCGCCAGTTTCAAAACCTGCAAATCAAATGGGATCACTTCCGGACGCTTGTTTCCTTTATTACACGTGCCCTTCCCTTTCTCCCTAGGGTGCTCCTTGCAATAATTACCCACAATTTTAAGGCAATGTAAGGGGGGAAAACTAGTACAAATCTGTAATGACGAGACAGATGAAATCAGCTATCTGACGATGATACACCCCTCAAAGAAAAGCTGGACCCTAAACCCTCTAGCCTTGAAGATCTGTGTTTTCACCACATATACCACCAGCAAGCACTTCAAAGGGCTGATCCGAAACAGAGCTGAGAGTTTAGCCTTGTTCCCATTCTGCCCATGCCATCCATTCCTCCCGCTGTGAGGAGTTAGAGAGCTAATTGGCAGTTAGGTCCGTTAACTGCACTTTTATCAAGAGATTGTAAACCCTGCCTTCTGATTCGCTGTTACTCTGCTCCCCTGACTGGTTAAATCTAGCTTTGGTTTTGAGAAAGAGGCCAATCAGAGAGCCCCTAAAGGGCACCCCCCCCCCAGACTTAAATGGCAAGTCCTCCTTGGAGTCCCTCTTCTGACTGCTGAGGCAGGAAGTTTCTCACTTTCAGGAAATCTCACTTTGTTCACTGCCCCTGTCTGCTTGGAAATTCTTCAACAGGAGACAAGAACCGAGAGCGCCTTCAGGGTCCCGCAAGACAGGGAGGGTCCAGTGTCACATCACTATCTTCCTGGTTAGCAACGTTTAACTCGCTGTCGTTCCCTGGTGTCCAAAGCTCCCAAGACAGTCTTTTGCCTCTGCAAGTGATGGCTGCATCTGCCTCCTTCTGATAATGCAACCTCTAAGCTCTTCCCTCTCCAGTCTTTCTATTGAATGCATTCACACATGCACCCAGCAAGTGTTATGCGCTGTGCAAAGCGAAGAGACCCAGCATTAAAGCTTACAAAACGGCAATAAGTGTTACCTTGAGCTGATCCTATTTCTTCCCTGCCCAAAAATCTCTAGAAGGACGCTTCATTACACACAGGCTTAAGTTTCAAGCTCTCTGGCTCACACACAAGCCCTCTCCCTGCCCTTTTGTATCACTTCCCACAATACCGCCAATAACTCCTCTCCCTTATGATGCAATGGATGTCCGTCACTCTCCCACCTTGAACGTGAGGATGCCTCATTCTTAGATTGTCTTTTTCCCAACTCCTGGCAAAATTGTACCATTCAAATTTCAAAAACCTTTTCCAAAAAGGCTTTCCAAATTACACTAATCAGAATATCTTTCTTTTTCCCTATGTTCACATAATATATTGTACCTCTAGTCTGCTTAATTCCACATTTTATATGCGCTTCCCACATAAGCTTCACAATACAAGGATCTTGCCTTTTCGATTGGCTCAGTGCTTTGCCCACAGTAAGCTTTGCACTTGATTGGTGCTCAGTAATTTGTCCACTGAATGGGTTTGTAGACAAGATTTTCCCAAATCATGGATCTAGAATTTAAAAATCATAAAAGGGCTTCATACAGCTATGTTTGGAATGTGATAAACTCAGCTTTCAGAAATTTATGAGTTAAAAAGCACAATGGAAGGCGAAGATCTAGGCCTTCCACTTGCTAGCTGTGTAACTTGAAATATATTTTTCACTCCTTTAGGTCTTGGACTCCTTAACTGTAAAATGTGATAATTATTATCTACAGATTTATGATGAGGATCAAGAAAGAATATATAGAAGCTTTGAAAGTATAAATTTCTCTCTTGGAAATGAAGTGATGGGGCTTAAATGACTAATTAAAAATAATTTTTTTTTTGACAGGCAGAGTGGACAGTGAGAGAGAGAGACAGAGAGAAAGGTCTTCCTTTTGCCGTTGGTTCACCCTCCAATGGCCACCACGGCCGGCACGCTGCGGCCGGCGCACCGCGCTGATCCGATGGCAGGAGCCAGGAGCCAGGTGCTTTTCCTGGTCTCCCATGGGGTGCAGGGCCCAAGCACCTGGGCCATCCTCCACTGCACTCCCTGGCCACAGCAGAGGGCTGGCCTGGAAGAGGGGCAACCGGGACAGAATCCGGCGCCCCGACCGGGACTAGAACCCGGTGTGCCGGCGCCGCTAGGCGGAGGATTAGCCTAGTGAGCCGCGGCGCCGGCCCAAAAATAATATTTGAATAATAAATATGTCTTTATAAACCACCTGTCCAGAAGACAGCATCCTCAGGTTCAAAGCCTATATACGGTAGGGTACCTGGCACATAGAAGGTAGTCAGTAAATATTATATACATAAAGTCTAAACTTCCAATTCTGTTCTTTAAAAACAAATGTACTAAATCAAGAGCATTCCATAAGAGTACTCGTAGATGGTTGTATCACTAGAGAATGCACTTTCCCTTGTAAATGTGTTCTAATTCTGGGCTCACCAGGCAACCTTTAAAAAAAGTTTATTTATTTGAGAAACAGAGTTACAGATTTGGGGGGCAGGGTGACGCTGGGGCATGGGAGGGAGGGTGGGAGAGGTCTTCCATCCACTGGTTCACTCCCTTAATGGCCACAACAGCTGGAACCGGGCTGATCTGAAGCCAGGAGTCAGGAGCTTCTTCTGGGTCTCACATGCAGGTGCAAGGGCTCAAGCCCTTGGGCCATCTTCTATTGCCTTCCCATCAGCATGCAGCTGGATCAGAAGTTGGAGCAGGCAGGACTCAAACCAGCCCCTCTGTGGGATGCCAGAGCCACAGCTGGATGCTTTGCCTACTAAGCCACAGCACCAGCCCACCAGGCAACACTTTGATTTACAAATTAGGCTTGGATCTGGAAAGATTTATCCCTGAAAGGAAGAGCCTCTGCTCTGGACAGCTCCCTGTATCTGATCATCAGGGAGCTGGATTCTGACTTATGCACCAGCTTTGCACCTGGTTCTTTCCAAGTTTAATTCTTGGGCAAGCCAACCTGTGATACCTTCTTTCTTTATTGCTTCTAAACCATGCAATAGAGAAAACACCTCATCTGCAAATGTATTCACACTCCAGCTATCATTCTATGCTATCTTCCCATCACTTGGCTTCTCCACAGATTTGCCTACACTCACAGTCTCAATATCCTACCCCTCACTCACTCTTCCAGCTACTCACCATCACACCATTTCCCCCTTGCTACAGCCAGTAGCCTACATGTCATCTTATTTGATGAAAGTAAGCAATATTTGAGGTTATTCACCACTCTTTCCACTTTTTCACCAACATTATCACATAGCCCTGATTTCCCTCCTCCTCAGGAGTTACCCCTGGGCTCATCCTTGTTAGGCTTTTTAGATGTTTCAAATCCGTCAGTGGATTGCTGGCAAATCAGACTTGGGAACCAGCTTGGGGGTAAAGGGAGACCTGATTACCTGCTCACAGTGGTCGATTTCTGTGGTGTAGACACTGCCCCCTAGCTAATTCCAAGCTACCAACACAGCATCACTGAACACTGAGTTAGGAAGAAGGGAGCAGAATTGGCTCATGAGAAATTCCAGCCAGCTTCTTCTAACACTGTAAACCTGGTCTGTGGTGTCGGGACCATACCCAATCCAGACCAGTATGCTCCCTAGATACCCCAACCTACTATTCAAACTGACCTAATGACTCTCCCAAAACTTGGCCTCTTCCAGTGTTCAGTAATTCAGCAAATGCACCATTTATCCATCTAGTTACGTCAGACAGAATTTAGGGTTCTGAGGGCGGGTTAAGCCACTGCTTGCAGCACCAGCATCCTAAATCAGAGGATCAGTCCCACTGCTCTACTTCCAATCCAGCTCCCTGCTGATGCACCTGGGAAGGCAGCAGAGGATGGCCCAAGTGCTTGGACCCCACGTGGCATCCATGTGGGAGATCCGAAAAAGCTTCTAGCTTCAGATCTGCTCACCTCCAGCCATTGTGGCCATTGAGGTAGTGAACCAGCAGATGGAAGACCATTCTCTCTCTCTCTCTCTCCTTCTCTCTCTCTCTGTCTCTACCTCTCTCTATAACTCTGTCTTTCAAATAAATAAAATATTTTTAAAAATAATAATAGTGATTTCGGGTTTTTCCTTGACTACTCATTCCCTCTCCATGTCCAGTCCATTGCCATGTCCAATTAATTTTACTTCCTAAATTTCATTCAAATCTATTCATCTTCATTTTCACAGCTGTCATCTTTTTTTTTTTTTTTTTTTGGACAGGCAGAGTTAGAGAGAGAAAGAGAGAGAGAGAGAGAGAGAGAAAGGTCTTCCTTCCGTTGGTTCACCCCCCAAATGGCCGCTACAGTCGGCGCGCTGCGCCAATCTGAAGCCAGAAGCCAGGTGCTTCCTCCTGGTTTCCCATGCGGGTGCAGGGCCCAAGCACCTGGGCCATCCTCCACTGCCTTCCTGGGCCACAGCAGAGAGCTGGACTGGAAGAGGAGCAACCAGGACAGAATCCGGCGCCCCAATCGAGACTAGAACCCGGGGTGCCGGCACCACAGGCGGAGGATTAGCCAAGTGAGTCGTGGCACCGGCCCACACAGCTGTCATCTTAATCT